GCTTAGTACGTCAGTGAGCAACAGCAAGGCACTGTGTAGGCCGTACATACATTCATTCATGTCTAGCGATGCTTAATGAAGTGGAATGCATAGCGCATTCCTTAAGGTTTGGGAACGCTAAATCTTTTGTCCTTCTTGTAGTACATAGAGGTTTCTTTAGTTACACCAGGGAAAGGGGTAGTATAGTCGAAACTGTTTTTTATCTGTTGTTATTTTTGTTGTAAATTTTAGTAGAAAATTCGCTTTGTTTTTTTTTGTTTTGGTGCTCTGTTGTGATTAGTATAGTTTTAGATACACCGTTTGGTGTGTGTTGGTGTTCCTTGTTAACACCGCAGGATCACCCAGTAGTTTCTGTTTGTGTGGGAACCAAATCATTATGGACTATTACCGCAGATGCCAAGGTAGGATAGTTTTCTTTCTCAGTTAACAAGCGCGAACTTTTATGGAAAATCGCTGCAGTTATGGATGAAATGTCTGGAGAATGGAAGCAGCAATAAGTTATCATTTTCCAGTTCAAGTTATTCTGTTGTCGGTGATGAAATGTACGGCATATGTGTGAACAATAGTGATCAGGTATTTCCTAACTAATAACTCGGTCATTTTTTATGGTAATATTTCACCTTTGTTGTCCGGTGAAATCGAATACATGGTATTGATCAACTCCGATAGCTTTGTCTTTCAATTTTGCTTTGTTCTCATTCTCCATCATTTAAAACACTTCTAATAGCTAAAGCAGTTTGATTAATGTTCATTCGTTAGGGTGATGTTGCTAGTCTTAACCTTTTTATTTACTGCCTATTCTTTTTAATGGCAGGGTATGTTGCGAAATGTAACTTCTATAATGCTGAGATATTTGCAAAACTCCGGACCGCAGGTGTCTGCGGTAGGGAACGAACGCGCTGTTATTCTTTCCGGGGAGTAACACGTTGACCAGTACACCATGCAGGTCCTTCATTTCGCCTGTCTCTCATCTAGTGCTATCGATCATCACCATCAGCAATCACCCGTCAACGGGATTGATCTAGAGAGCCCAAATCGGCAACGAACCAAGTTAAGACGAGTCGGTCGAACAGGCAGTAAATAAAAACGTTAACATTGTGATCTCGTCTATTGCCTCGACATTGGTTGATAGAACTAGTTGAGAGGCAAGCAAAACGAAGGAGCCGCATGGTATGGTGGTGAACACGTTTGCCCCAGAAAGGGTAATAGTGCGTTCGTTCTCCACCATAGGCACTGCGGTTCGGAGTCTTGCAAATATCTCCGCATTATAGGAGTTATATTTTGCAACATACCCTGCCATTAAAAAGAATAGGCAGTAAATAAAAAGGTCAAGATTGTGATTATAACTATAACCTCAGCTTAATTGGGTTCATTGCCGATTTGGGCTCCTCAGATCAATCCCGTTGAGGGGTGATTGCTGATGGCAAAAGATCGATAGGACTAGCTGAGAGACAGGCAAAACGAACCCGGATGGAGTGGTGGTGAACGCGTTACTCCACGGAAAGGACAATAGCGTGTTCGTTCCCCACCGCAGACACCTGCGGTCTGGAGTTTTGCAAATATTTTAGCATTATTGATGTGGCTAGTATTACAATAATTTGTGTTGTTTTGTCACATTTGGTTAAGACCCAGGTCAAATTTGATTGTACAGTCGTTGCGCTGTTTCAATATTTTAACACCGTACTCCATGCTAAAATATGACCAGTTGCCTTCGTTTCAGTGTTTAAACTCTTGAACTGGAAATATTCAATTGGTATTGAAAGTATAGGACAAGTTTTGGTTGGGCAAAACTTACTTGGTGTTTAAAAATAGCGAAAAAAGGAATGATGTGTAAATAAATAATTTCTTAGGTGGCTGGCACTTCTGCATCCGGGAATGTATATGTGCGCGAGGGAATTTCAACTGTAGAACCTGCGGGAAGAATTTTCCTCCGGCTAATAGAAAGAACTTCACAAAGACCGCAGAAATGGTCTATGGTAGAATCTTAGCAATAATTACACTTTTGTATTTCTAGCAGAGAAAAAACAAAACCTCCAGGCTTATCACAATACATGGTTTTACTTCAGATTACGAACAGCGGTGCGGACTATTCAAGTATTCCCAAGCACTGGATCAGTGATCATGTTGTAGTTGTGAGCACAACGAATTACCATTTTAGCAGCTGGAGGAAAAAGGTCAGTTTTAACATTATTTGAAACTGAAAGACATGACATTGTCAGTTTTCAGATATTGCATGATATTTGCGCTGTTAATGATACTTGTTGGGAAGTTTTTCGATCAACTGGGAACGATCTATCGGTACCTTCCACTTTTCCTGTTTTTCTCCAACGATCTAAAATAACTCCTACGTAGAAATGAATCTGTTTGCAAATAATTACGACTATCAGTACTGTTGTTACTCAGAATTCATAGTGTTAAATATATCGTAGCCGCCAGAGCTGTTATGACACGCGTTTTTACGCTAGGCTATGGACAATTGGTCGCCGCGCGATTCATGTACTAATGCCATGAGATCGTAGTAATCTCCCAAAAGTAGTGCGCTTGCCGAGGAATATGTATTTCATTCACCTTCACGAACAACAGTTTTTGTAGTTTGGCAAACAAACTCGTCACAAGAGAGGTTTTATTTATTATGTAGATTTTCTGTACCACTCCTAGCACAACAGTTGTGCTTAGAATTTGTTGATTAAGTAGAAAAAGGGTAAAGTAAATATTATATGATTAAAGAAATCGTCAAAAGGGAAACGAAATTAAACCAGTACACGTTAATGAAAGAAATTTTTTTGTGGCGTCTAAAAACTCGGAATTTTACTTTAGAATGGAAAGGCTAATATCTTATTGACAAACATCTTTATGGTTTTTATATGTTCGCAATGCGTTTATACATATCTGTGTAAAATTCAGAGGATTTAACGCTGGTTTTTCTATATGTTAGATATTTGTTCTAAATGTCTTTCGAAGTATTTCTCTTCCAACCAACATACCTGAAAGCTCCTATGAATACAGTGCGCATTGAATATTTTCCTAGATATGTTTCTGAGGCCAATTTACAGTCACTTTTCTTGCTTCTTTGTCTCCTTTCTCGTTCTTCGTGTCATGATATGAGTGCCTAGCTTATCCATTTTCTTAAACTAGAATGGGAGTAGTGACGGAAATTAGTTCTACTTCCTTTGCATATTAGTTTTTAGCATCTCGTCGCTAGGCCGGAAAAGTTGATTTGCTGGAATCGCGAAGTAAGGGCAAAGATGAGACGTTCGTGCAAATTACGGTTCACTATTGGGAAGCTTTGTATAAGTGCTGACACAATGAAGTTTAAAGCTGATGGAGGAGGTGTCGTTGTAAAATCTTTGGCAGAGGTTAAGTCAATGTTTATTTAAAAAAAATAAACGATTCGTCGTTAGTCAGTCCTCTAGGGATGCGCCATATGTTCGGCTTCGTTAAGCGTCATTAGAGGTGCTTGAATACATATCTGGCTTGTACAATGATTTAAGGTGGCGTACCGTACCAATCAGTTTTGCTATTCTCCAGATCAAGTATGATACCTGTTTTCCGACGTCGGGGGGATGGAAAGCTTGGTGAACCTGGAGCGTGGGGATCAATCCCAAGTGTACTGCAGAACGCCTCGGGCCACTGCGTCACACGGACCCTTGTTTGCCATGTTTATTTACGAAATAAAATTTTCAGGGAAACGCGCTTTTTAACCTCACTGAAGTGTAGCTCTATGGCGGAATATATCTCAACCAAAGTGCTCTATGGTATAGGAAATTGATTTTGAAAATGGACTTCACAAGTAATTGGATGTTAAAAAGTCTTTTGAAAATGAAACTGTTCAGTTGACTTAAGGATCTTTTTAATCAATATGCTGTTGCATCCAAAAGTTTGCTTTCCTAAATCCTTCAAGTCGTCATTTTCACTGCCTTGTGACAGGCGAATATTTGTGACAGGCAAAGCAAATTGCTAACATATTTGAAAATCCATTGCTGATAGGTTAGGTGGCAGAGGCGAATGAGGCAGGTTTCATGCTTCAGCTCATTAACCATCAAGGTGATCCGTGTTTGATTTCCTTTGTAAAATTCATTAAGTCAACTTTTTGTTCCAATTCTATTCATCTTTTTAAATTGGCACATATGTTACAGAAAAGCAAGAGGGTTAACATTGAACGTCCACTGAAACCTTTGCTTCGAAAGTGGCATGTTTACCACTCATAAAAAGGAATATATTGGGAAAAAAAGATTTGAAAATTCACATATTTCACATTTAACAACCCGATAGGCCAAGTTTAATTACCCGAGTCTGAGATTGGAAATCACGATCAATCAAAAGACCCACGTGATAAACTTATTACATTCACTTATTCGACGAGCTCTTCATCGCAAATTTCTTCTCTTACAAGTCTTCGTTTCCACGAATTTTCAAGAGTGGAAGTTTGTCATTAACATGAAGTCGAATTTATACACTAGTTGAACGGCTTTATTTTATCGAAACATCACTGGCGTAGGCAAAAAGAGCACGTGTGGCGCAATGGTTAAAGGGGCCATATAATTTGACTTGATCTTTTGTTGAAGATCATACCTTGGGTTAACGAAGCAAATAAATCAGGCGTCGTCCACAGATGGCTGCCAGAATTTTCTGGAAAAATAAATCCATTAACTTCATATATCGGCGCATCGATGAAAGCCATTGCATAGGGCGGTGTGGATTCAATTAGTGGAGTCGATTGCACAGCGCAACTGTAAAAGATTGGTCAGCGCCGAACGTTTTATTTTCTCTCCTTATTGGGCAGAAAAAAAAATAAATCTGGTTTATTTGTTTCTAGTTGATGTCAGTTAGACGTGACTACGATCACGATGGATCCATTTTCACAATCCAGGCGGTCTTTTATTCATCAAGCATTCATGATTTGATTGAAATCGGCTTCTCTGCAGAGTTGGATCGCGATGAATGGCATGAGTTGCTTTCAACGGTGAAATTGTTGCAAATTGCTTACGGGTGTATAGAGAATGACCTACAACTTAGAATTTTTTTCGGAAATTCAACGACATATTCTTTCTGGAGGAAATTCGGTCCGTTCATGTGGCATGTGGAGTGTGTCAAATGCTGGAATGGTGCGCTATCACGTGCTATCCCAGGTACTTCTAATCAATTAGAATCCATGGGTTTAAATCTGGGTTCTACTTCTTTGTTTTTGTTGGAATTACTTGTGTTCTTTTAAAGAATTCACTTTCTGCATTAGACACATGTCCCAGTCTTTGCATTCCTGGTTGTATGAAAAGTGTTTCTGCCGGTGCAAATGGTATTGTTTGGTCCCTAGCTCAAGTACGTTGAGATTTTTATGGTGTAACATAAAGCGTACTCATAACACTCAATACTTCGAAATATCGAGAACTACGCAATAATTTTCGTCTATGTTGAGGATGGTGTTGTGTATTCATTTTCCCCAGATTTCAATTTTCTTTCTGGGAGTGTTCCTAATTTTTCCGCGGTGCAACAAACAACTGTTGTGAGAGAGGTAATGCTCTTGAGTTTTTCAGTCATTAATCTATAGGTTGGTGACATAACTGCGTACTCGTTTTCGGTTTATGAGTACCAACAATCTTCTTTTATGCGTGGTTTTGTTGCTTATCGAGGAAGGTCGAAGGACGGTATAACAACGTGGATGGAGGGTTCGAATAGTGTGAGCGGATTGTATGAAAAGTACGTTTCTCATGGCAGTAATTGAAAAGCATAGCAGTAGTACTATTCTGGCTTAGACTGGGATCTCGCGAATGGAAATGGATTGATTCGAAGTGGCGAGTGATTGACACTGATAAATATGAGGACGGGTGGACCTATTCTGAAAACATTGATGGTGTCTATAGTAAAGGAAAACAGAAGAAGGTAATTGATAAGTTGGAAAACCATTAGTAATATGGTATAACTTATATAAGTTAATTTTTTTAGTTTTTATGGTTTCATGAAACATCAAAAGTAGAAATTTCGAAACTAAAGGGCTCGTAGAACTAAGGTTATTGCAGAACACAAATGTTGGTTTCAATGCGAGAGCAAAAAGCCTTTTTACATACAATGAGCGTGCTGGTTATTGTTCAGCTGTAGTTGAGCATAGTTTTAGGTCTATACACATTTTTTCTTAGAAGATGTTTTGATTTCAAATTGGTTCGCTGCGTTCACGATGGTGTTCATTGATTTCAATGTGGTCATATTCGGAAATATTGACTTGTGATGAATAAGAAAAATACTTCATATAATTCTATGGAGTTCTCAACCTTGTTAGTTATTGAGGCTGTGTTTAGGCATGCACAATCACGAACGTGTTCAAGTTGAGAGGCGCGTTTATTTTCGATCATATGTGGGCTAAAATCATTCCATATCGCCCATTGTATGACAGACTTCTCAGTGATTTAGTTGTATTCGTCGTAGGGCTCTCAATATGGATGCAGCATCTTCCGTATAATCCCTACTATCTCCACTAGCTCTTATTCCACTGTCGAGTTTCGTTAGTTATAAATCCACTGTATTCTATGAATACAACATTTCTGAACTACTCTAGAACATCTGGAATTTGTAATAATTCACGAATTTCATAGACTCTTGACACAGTTAAGTGAAAGTTTTAGGCTAGTGCTCGGCGTCGCACGTGGCAGCGTCGTGCTCGATTTCAATGTCGTGGACCGTGGCTAGCCGTTGAGGCTCCTGCCATACGTTGCGTTGAGGTGCAAAAAGCTGAGTCTGACAGAGTAGGTTTTATTAATTGACTTTTTGTAACGCTATTAGACGGAAGTGTTCGCCAACTGTTTCATTTACTTGGTTTTTTTTAAATGTAGATTCTCGTCTGGGCAGTCACCATGAACGGCGAAATTCTTATTCGACAAGGCGTTACGGCTGCGCATCCGCAGGGCACGACATGGAAGCATGTGAGTGCAGAGTACTAGACTTTGGGTGATAACATGAGTTTTTGGAACTGGTTATTTCTAGATTATTTGTGACTATAACATCGAAGCAATCTCTGTAGCGTCTCCGACTTGTGTGTGGGCAACAACAGTCGACGGAAGACTGCTGCGTCGTGAATGTTCCGATCAAACAGACATTGAATGTGTAGGTGGGCGCTGTTTGCTTCTCGCTTCTGCGTAATGGTATAGCCATTAAAGTGGCACCAGTGGGAGCTTCTATGACGCAGTAGTCGGAGGCGCCCTGCAGCACATAATAGCCGGTCCATGCGCACCAGATTCACCAAGCCTTCCATCCTTTCGGGGTCGGTATATTGGTACTAGAATTATCAGGGAGGGTAGTAGCACTGGCCCGATACATCGGTAGCCCACCGCGAGTCATTATAAAGAGCATATATGCATTCATTCAGCTCCAACGATGCTTATCGAAGTCGAATGCATGGCGCATCACTCAGCGATTGATCAACGTTTCTTGATAAGCATAAACAAGGTGGTTGTCACCCTATGTGTTAACAATAACTTCGTTTCGGCTGTTTCGCTCTTTTACGGCTTGCAAAGTTCAGACTGACACGCCTTCTACTTGGTCAAACACTCAGAAAATAAAGCTTAGTGCATAAATTTCATTCGTGTTATGAGAAGGTCATTTTAAGCACTCTCGGATCTGTTTTATGAGTCTTCCAGTTATTGCTGGAGAGCAGCCGCGCAAAGTATTACATGGCTGGGAAATATGTTTAGCTCAAGTCGTTAAATTTCTTTTAATCCAGCTAACACGGGGTTAATAAACAACTTCATTCGACTAGCTTTTCGGGGCCTTCGCCTTCCTCATCTGCCTTGATCGGAGTTATCTGTCCACAGTTCCTTCTTCCGATATAGTTTTTCCTGATCGCATCGAATCGTATCCAGTGGAGCACCGCTTGAATGAAGTAATCTCACTCTGCAGCGCTCTTTTACTCAGAGCGTTTGTTGTTGACAATGAAAAAAGTTGACACCATTTGGGTGTTTTTAGGTTGGTCAGAATTTGTTTATTCTCCACTGAGTAGTGTGTACTCGTTCTGTGCTTCGCGGAATATCATCGTTATACTTCCGAGGAATGACCCCCAACTGAAGGCCATCGACGTAAATTGCGGCAAGTCGTTAGAATTATATTTTTCTTAATTCGGTTTTGTTAATCATCTCAAAGAGAGCGCATTTGCAGGGAAGACGAGCCGCTGCCTCACATTACCAAAAGCGACATACGTATCCATAGATGGCGAGGATCGAGTTTATTGTTGCGATGGAACGAGAATCATCAAGTTAGAGAGGGTCATCGAAAATGAGAAACGAAGTGGCAGATTAGAATTCCGAATCTCCGAGATGACTTTTCTTGGCAGTTATGCCCAATTCTGTTTTGTCTAATTTTCTCACCTCATTTAATGCTCTGCACAAACGTGTTGTTGGGAACTATTTTGTTATATTAAATGAACTGTATATATGCTTATAATTTTTTGAACTTGCCCGAGGTTGATAAATATGTTTATTTCGGCAAACGTTTTGACGTCTTCGTCTTCATCAGAGCCAATGATCCGTGTCGGTGGTCCACTGTTGTTCGTTATCACGATGTGGCGTCTTTGTTGTCGTACCGAGAGGGGATCTTCTTCAGTGAACACCGCAGGAATGAGCCATGCACACTGAGAGCTGTCATTTTATACAGGCGGTTATAGTCGATAAGACTATTCGTTGATAATAGTTTGTTTCTTGACGGATAATCCACCTTGTAGCAGTCGGTATTATGTTAGCTAGCACAAAGCGAGTAGCAAAACAATTTAATTAATTAGGTAGAATATTAAATTGCTTTAATTAAACTAATTTAATTTAGACAATCAAATTAATTTAGTTTAAGAGCTCTATGATCTTTTTTATTAAAAAACGACGAAAAGATGGACATAATTTACGATCAGGAATGTATAGGCATCTAATCTTATCGTTAGCGATGCTTTCACTCTGTGCCTACAGTTTCAGGATAAGGATAAGGATAAAGGTCTCGGTGTTGATCAATCCCTGAGGGATGCCCCATGCATTCGACTTCATTAAGTATCGTTGGAGGTGATTGAATGCATAGCTGGCCTTTACAGTGACTCGCGGTGACCTACTGATGTATCGAGCCAGTGCTGCTATCCTTTCAGTCCAACAGTCCAGTACCAATTTGCCGACCCTGGATAGATGGAAGACTTGGTGAGCCATGGAGGGGGATCGATTCCATGTGTGTGTCGCAGCGGCGCCTCCAACCAGTGCGCCAGATGCGCCCTTCACTTTCAGGAATATTCATAAAATGGCAAAAAGATGAAGACCAATGGAAGTGAGTAAATATTTTAGATCTATTAATGAGAGTTAAGAGCAAGAATAGTAACCATAACCAATAATGACAGCTAATCATTAATTGGGAAGCGGGTAGCACACTGATGGTGGTGCTCTTCATACGCTATCGGCCCAAGTTACCTAGGCGTTCGTTTGTTCGTTTCGGGGCCCACGAAGTCTCTCATCTCTTCGAAATCAGACAGTTGATAATAAACTTTTCTGGGACAGGTCCGCCCACTTTAATCCACGTGGGACGCCTTATCCTAGCTATCTCATGATTCTAGTAAGAGTCTACTCAGCCAGAATTCAGCGATATTCGTGGCAAAGACGAAAATGGTCGAGAAGCAGCCGAGCGCGTGCGCAAAAAAGAGTTGGAAGACGTTTGTGAATGGTGGATGTGAGAAAACGAATCGAATGCAAGAAGTGCTGGAATTCGTACGAGTAGTACATATGATGTCGGAAGGTATAGTAATAAATAATAGTATTGATAATGAAAGGCGCAGAAATCATAGTGATAGAATGCAATTTAACGATGCTCATAGTGCCCTTGCTTTGAATCTTCCACATGCCTATCGACACGTCCATCTTTCCGAGGTCGGGAAATTTATACTGGACTTGATTAAGGAGAGCTTTTAGAGATCCACAAAGGCAGATGGCTTGTGGTGAAGATCTTCATGCGCCCTAGCACGTCTCTACCAGCATTCCAGCAAGAATCGACTCCACCGATACTAAACGGCATTCATGAAGAAGGTAGTTAGCAGCGGTCAAATCCACATGCAAACCTGAAGACTTAAGTGGATGATAGATGCGAGGAAACGAATTGAATGGAAAAAGTACTTAGGTTTGCAAAAGTTGTGAAGTCAGGTCATACAATTAAGTGAAAGCAAAAAAAATTGTAGTAGGCAGCAAAAAAAACTTGGCATTGTGGTTTCAACTACAGCCTCAGCTTAATTGGGTTCAATGCCGATTTGGACTACCCAGATCAATCCCGTTGACGCGTTATTGCTGATGGCCGTAATCGATAAAACTAGCTGATAGACAGTCGAAACGAAAGACCCGCATGATGTAGTGGTGAACGCGCTAGGCTCTGTAAAGGATAATAGCGCTTTCGTTCCCCACCGCAGACACCAGTGATCCGGAGTTTTGCAAATATCTAAGCACCATTGTGGTTGTATTTTGCACCACACCCTGCCGTGAAAAATTATAGTAGGCATAAGTGAAAGCCTTGACGATGTCGTTGATGAGTGTCGTTACTCACCAATTAAAAGAAGATATTAGTTGCCACTTATTGCTTTACATTTTTAAAATTCGATGGGGCAATATAGGTTGTTGAGTGGATTAACACTGTGTAATATCCACGACTGACTATCCATTAACCGTGGTATTAACCAAATTATTCTGTATATTCTTGTTGAGGAAATAAGAAGTGTTACCTTATTCTTCAATTAAAAGTAAGCTGAAGTTGGTGGATTTCGCCTATCTCAGAGTCCACTATTTACCTCCAAAACCTGTTTACCTGTTCCTCGCTGAGAAATGTAGAAAAAGCCTTTTCTTGAAATTTCGATTTCAGTTGCTATTTTCGGTTAAGGTCTTAAGTGTGAGTTCGGCTGGGCTTAACGATCTATCTTCTCGTAATTGAACATAGTCTTTCCCGGCATCCGAAGAGCCATCTTAGAATGTTTACAGGTTTTCATGAGTTACTGTCGATTCTTGTTGACCTGAAAAATGCCTTCTATGCTCCTGAGTGGGACAATAGGGTGACAGCAATTTCCACTTTTAACCATCCAATGAGACACGAGGTAATAAACTGAATACTGTTACAAACATTAAGGAAAAGTAAGTGTGAAAGCCTACTAATAATTGATATTTTCCAGCAAAATCAAGATCAAGCCTTGAAATCGGTAAGCTTTCTGATTAGCTGAGCTTACAGGCCATACTATTTAATAGTTTGCATTGTTCTTCCTTTCGTTTGGTCCAATATGCTAAAATCAATTTTACCCTTAACAAATCCTGAGCCAGTGTAAATGGCGAATTTCATATGGAACTGTATTATTTCCACTTTTCTAGTTGCTTAAGTATTTTTTTAGTGGGAAACTAATTAGACAAGTGTACGAGAAACTAAACACACCACTATGACAGATACAAGTTTGTCGATGTCATCAGCTGAGACAGAAGAGCACGCGGGCAGTGAACACCAGAACCAAATCATTAGTAGTGCTAAATGACTGAAAATGCTCGTAGATGGCATGAGGCACTGTCGCACAAATATGAGTTTTGCTCCTGCTAACCTAAGAACCGGTGTAACAATAAAAGGGGAGAAACGAACAGTGCTGGAAAGGTGAAACCGAGTTTGTTATGACGCCGACTAATTTGCTTCATTTGAAACACCTTCTTTAAATTCTCAAAATCGACTTTTTATTAACCTCGGCAATAATCATAAGTATATACGAGCTTGCTAGCTCAATAAATGTTTCATATTAGCTACGTTTCTGCGGTGTTTCCTTTTCTCTTCTTGCCCATTCCCTCTTTGCCGCAGGAATCCGAAACATCAGCGCACGAAACTCTCGAGGAATTTGGATAAATTCGAAAAACCCAAAGATGAACTGTAGGGAGGAGCGCTCGTTAGCGCGAGTGTCTTCGGCCCATAACTCAGACTGATTTTTCCACCAGAAGCGCGCATATTCCTCGCATATGTAAACCCTGCGCTCTCGTCTCCAGGAATAAGCGGGAAATCTTGTAAAAAAACAGTGAGTATCTATCTCAGGTGTTTCCCACGCAACAGAGATTATAGACTGTTCCTTTTTTCTGCTCGTGCTATGGAAGCATTTGGCTGAGTTGATTACCTCTCCGCTTGACATTTCCAGGTTCTGAAGAAGGTTAGACTGCCAATACTTCAGCTGGCGCGAAATAAGCACAGTGAGAACAACCTCATAGATGCTCATCAAGAAAATGATAACTTATCTTTTTGAACTAGAAAAATAATGGCGGGAAGCTCACATTTCACACCTTGCCAAGGAGCGCCTTTTCCATCAAAACAATGTCGTTAAATGCCAATTAACTCAAGGAATAAAGGAAAAAACAACTATTGAAGTTGTCTGCATGAGACAACAGTCCTAGCCGATTATAAAGTACGAAAACGAATGAGATTTCGCCTCTTGGCCTTTTGTTTGGGAAGTCTCTGAAAGAGAATTTTAGCGATGGAGATCATGCAACATCGATTTTCTAACAATACAGCTGTCTGATGCTGACTCAAAAATAAAAGAATACTTGCTTAATAGTCACATGAAGGTCAAAGGAAAGCCATTTTTTGAAATATTTTTATGAACATTGTAATGAAGAAGTGTACTGTGCCCAAGTAGCGCTGTGTGGATGAGATCGCACAAGTTATGAAAATGAGTAGAACAGACCCTATTCTTTACAATGGTGCCGGCTGGTCAGCAGTCGTAATTCTGACAGCTTACTTACTCAGATTACTTGTTTTCGGGTGTCATACGGATCCTAACATTTCGTCCTTTCATTTCGCTTCCTAGCAGACGTCATCCATGTAGGTGGTCATATGTTAGTTGAGCTGAGGTTTGAAGATCTTAAAGTCGATTCAAACTGCGAATAAAGTTTGCTTATACTTGTAACGAGCAAGTTCTTCGGCCTGTTTGATAGTCTCTTGTTGTTTTGACTTTGTTGAGATTGAGTTTACTGCAACTCTGGTACATAGCACAGCGTTGATAACTCTGTTGGGTCAAAAAAGTGAGCATGTGGGTCGGGATCACTAAGATTTCTGATAGAGGTCTGTGTGTAGTTTTATTTTAATTCCAATACGGACTCTCCTTTATCCTCCGATGTAGTGGTCGATTTATCCACTTATTGGTAAGCTTACCATTAGGGTTAAGATGATTCAAGACCAAGAACCGTCTATCTTGCCAAAATTACCGGACTAACATCAGGCCATCCCAAAGCTACATGATTTGTACATATAGAACTCCCACCTCTGAAATTTTGGTTGTAAAGCATTCAGTTGTTCGCCGAATTCAGCTTAATCTACAAATTTCCACCCATGTTTTCGG